CTAGGCTACATACAAGGCTCAGTGGTTCCTGGTCTAAGATCCTGGTGTAAGAGAATCATCAACTCACTGTCTTCCATAGGCTTAGTTAGCATTTAACTTGAACTTCTGTTGTAAAATGAATGTTTGCTCTCCCTCAAATTCATGTGGAAACTCTAACTCCTAATTTTATCATATTAAAAGTGTAAGCTCTGGGAGAGCAATTGAACTGTAAAAATGTTGTGAGAAAAAAAATGGCTGTTTTGTGCCATCCATTACAGCAGACTGAATGAGCTAAGAGAACCCCCAGCCTTCTACACATGACTGTCTTGAGAACCCTCCTTTTCTTGAACGCTTTAGCTTTCTGGCTGTTGTATACACACCCATCCTGGGGCAAGTTTCCCTCACTTAAGCCTTTCATTTCTCTATATTTTAAGCTAACACATTTTATGGGGCATGGCCCATGAGCCAGGCAGCATGGATGGCACCATGAATGCAGCTGAGAATAAGGGGGGCCCTATATAGGACAAATAGCAAGGGGATAAGGATGTTGGTGTCGAGAGCTGGGGTTCTCAGTTTTCTGAATTTTGCTGCAACAAGGCTGGGGCTTCAGATCCTTGCAGAAGTGAGCACTGGTTTTGCCTATTTTGTGATCCTTCAGAAGCAAGGACAGTCACCGTATTTTGACCAGATGGGTAAAATCTTAAGTTAGCTGGGAACAGCACTTCAAAAGTAACCCTGGCCACACTTGGTCAGTTTCCACATCACAGCATTCAGAAGCTATCAGCAAGGAATCATCTCACGAAATGCAAGCTTTCTTCTGTTGCGTTTCCAGATGTCCTGTCCCTACTAGCCTTTAGAGTCTTATCTTGGAGAAGGAACCATCCCACTGCCCTGCAAGTGCAAGGATATGAGAGCTGCACAGTAGGGTTCCTGTTGGAAGAGGTGTGGTCTCGGGGAAAATGGGCGTCTTGTGATCCAGAGAAGGCAGCAGCAGCAGCTCAGAGCCTGGCTCAGGTGAATGGCTTGGGAGGAGCTCTTGACTTACTAATGGTCATGGGTGTTACGAGGTAAGCCTGCAGCCTTTCAGGCTTGCCTTCTTGGTGCATTGGGCTCAGATCATATAACTTATAGTCAGTGGTGACTCTTTCCTTCCAGCTGAGCAGAATTAACTGCCAATTCAAGGTTTTCTTGTTACCATAATGAGGGTTACTTGATGACACTTACTTGAGTCACACTCACGCCAAATTGGAGGAGAGAGATGAACAATAAATACCATAACTATTGTTACATGCCAGAAAATCCACTTTTATAAGGTATGCAGTTTTGATGGATTTAGGATTTTCAAATGGTGCAATCAATTATCATCATCAATTTCATAGCAATTTTAATACTATCAGATAAAACCCATACCCACTATCACCTCCACTCCCATTTGCCTATTGCCACATAGGACACTATGTAAATGAAACAATTGAAGAACAAGAGCCTTTTGTTCTGGTCTTTTTCACTTATCGTACTTTTAAAACCCCTTTCAGTCATTTATTAAAAGTTATTCCTAACAGAGGAACTGGAGAGATGGCTCAGTAGTTAAAAGCACTGGTTGCTCTTACAGAGGACCTGGGTTCTATTCGCAGTCCCCACATGGTGGCTCACAACAGCCTGTAAGTCCTGTTCTACAGTATATGACACCCTTTTCTGGCCTCTGTAAGAACCAGGCACATATGTGATGAGCAGATATACACACAGGCCACACACCCATACACATAAAATAAAAATTCAATGTGGAGATGAAGTTCCCTGGGTAATACTTTTATCATCTAGATTGCTTTTCAGAGTTATTCCTATTGTATAAACATGGCTTCTATGGACCAGTAGCGAACATTTGGGCTATCTAATTGTCAGTTCTTATGGATCGTAGACAACACCACCTTTACTATCTCCTTTTAATCTCTCATTAAAGGCTTCGTTTACTCTTCTTTCTTCAGTGTCTTAGCAATGATGTTAGGTTGTTGGTGTGAGATTTGCTTCCTTTTCAATATAGTAGTCACAGCTACATATTTGTCTTTGAGTGTTCTGTTAGCTGTAGCCCATAAATTTTGATATGGTGTTTTTTGGTTGTTTTTTTTTTTTGCATTCTCAAAATTTAAAAAAAGTATCTTATGATTATCTTCTCTCATTTATTGGTTATTTGGGAGTATATATTTTGCTTTATGAATATTTCTGAACTTTCTAGTTTCCATTCTGTGTTTCCCCCTTTGGTACTAGGTATAGCACCTAGACCCTGGGGCATGTAGGCAGATAGTCTACATGTAAGCGACATCTCCAGAACAACTTTTACAGTTTTGTTTTCATTTTGAGACAGCACACTCAATTGTCAGGGCTGGTCTTCAATGTGCTGTTTTCATCTCAGCTTCCCAAATAGCTGTGATTCCAGACATATCCCACAGGCAGACAGACATGCCCCACCGGCAGAATGTATTACAGGCAGACATTCCCCACAAGCAGACATGCACCACAGGCAGACACTACAGGCAGATCTCACAGGCAGACATGCCCACAGGCAGACATCACAGCCCTGTCTTCTTTCTGCTTGTGAGTTCCCCTTCACTCTTCCTGAGATTTGAGGAGACACACTGTGTGATCTTTTAAAAATCTAGTTACACTTCATTTTTGGATCAAAATTAATTTTTGCTGCAGAATGTTCCACATGCACTTAAAAACGTTTGTGATGCCCAACTGAAGATTGCTCTAATTGGCTTAGAGTGTGCTGTTGAAGAGTTCGTTTCCTTGATCTTTTTCCTCATTTTGTTCATTAACAGAGGACTCAAAGGTTTGAAGATACCCTTGAAATATGTAGCTGTGAGTTGTCCATTTCTCCTCCCAATTTTATTAATCTTAGGTCAAGAATCTTTGGACCTTGTTTTTATTATGTTATATATACACTTATTTAAGTGGTTGCTTTTATAATTACAAATGTCTTTGTATCTAGCATTTATTTTGACTGATGCCAACGTAATAATTTTAGGTGCCTTGTTTTCTATGTATAGTATGTATTTTTATGCTCTTTATATCATTTTGATAGGGGTGTTTGAGACAGGGTTTCTTTGTGTATCCCTGGATGTTCTGGAATTCACTCTGCAGACCAGACTGGCTTCAAACACACAGAGATCCTTCTGCCTCTGCCTCCCAAGTTCTGGGATTAAAGACATGGGTCACCACTGTCCCCCTGCTCTTTACTTCTTTAAATTTAAGTGTCTTTTGTGACAGTTTACAGTTGGATCATGTTATTTTGCCTGACATTCCTTTTTATTTGAGTAGTTAATAATTTCACACTGAATGCAATTGCTGTAAGACAGAATTCACATTAGTAATTTTGCCTGTGTTCTTGCATCGATCCTCTATTTCTATGACTTCCTTGATTTTAGTAGGCAATTTCTAGAGTACCCTTTAGTTCCCATATCATATATATAATATATATTTATATATATTATATATAAGAATATATATATTCTTTTCTTCTTGGTAGTTTTCTTTGAGATACTGTTACTTTCGTATGCCAATTTATTTGAGATCAATACAACATGATTTTTGATAGTATAAAAATACGGCTTCTAAATAGTTTTCTTTCTTTTCCCTTCTGTATGCTGTGTTAGACAAATCATATCTTTATTCTTTATAAGGTGATCATTATGACTTTATGCAGTTATCCTTTAACTCAAATAGTGGAGGTCTCCTAGAAACAGATTGCCTAAGGTTTTTATACCAAAGCTGTACTGCTGGGAGTTGTGTAGCAGTTTCTGTGATGATTGAAACATCCTATCCTGCAGGGAAGGTCCTGAAAAAAGAACTCAGAAGAGCTTCAGGAAGTTCCTGAAACTGATCAGATTCTCTAGCCCTCTCTTCCAGAGTAAAAAGCAAAGACTGCAAAGAGTCACTTCCAGACAAGCTGCCAAGAAGTTTTTCAGACTAGCCAAACAGCCTGAAAGAAGCAGAAAGCAGATACTGTCTACAAAAGGCTCAGATCAACTGAACCACCTGGGAAGGGTGGTCTCCAGTCTCGTGAGCTGCCTGCAGGGTGTGCTGTGTGCTCCAGCTTCCTAGATTTTGTGAGCTGTGAGCTGCCACTCATGCTGAGGTGGACTCTGGTGATACAGCTAGCTGTCTTTGAGTCATTTCTGCTCCTGTAAGTGACCCCCTCACTAATATTCCCATAAGAAAGTCCTATAAAACCCCCTGGTTCACCAAGGTAGACTTTGGTAGGATCTGTACTTTCATATGTTTTGGGTGAGTAGGTGTGTGTGTGTGTGTGTGTGTGTGTGTGTGTGGTACATTGTGTCTTCCATCTTTCTAGGAAAAGTCTTGTCCCACAACATTATGAGCCCGCTAGAAATATGGAAGGGAAGGTGAAGGGACATTAGCTCACTAGAGCACGTGGCTCTGACAGGCCTTATCCTCTCCCACATTTCCTTTGCCTTGCTAAAAACCATTAGATTACATTTGTAATGCTAGCTGCAGGTCTGTTCCATTATTTGGCTACTTATTCCTCCTGAGTCCAGCAATGTCCAGCAATCAGGAGCCCCCTTTGGGTCACCTAATTAACATGCCCCAATTAAAATTTAACACCTCATCCTAACACAGGGTTTCTCCATTTACCTTTATAAACCACCATTTGCCTATGTGCGTCATCTGTCTCCTCTCTATCCAGAGGCAGTCCTTTGTCCCTCTAGGACAAATACCCTTTCCCCTTTCTTTTGTCCCTTTCCCCTTCTCCCTTGTCCTCTCTCTCCTTTACCACTACATCCTAGTCCATTCTAACACAGACCCCCCCCTTTTCTCCTCTTAAAATTATACCTGCAAGGTCTTTTGCTGCTGTCAAATCCCCTGGAACTGGAGTTACAGATAGTTTCGAGTCACCATGTGGATGCTGGGAATCAAACCTGGATCACATAGAAGAGCAGCCAGTGCTCTTAACTGTTGAGCTACCTTTCCAGCCCTGATTTTCTTTAATTATTTAGAAATTAATGCTTCCTTTGGCAGCACATATATTAAAATTGGAATGATACAGAGATTATCATGGCCCCAATGCAAGGATGACACACAAATTTACAAAGCTTTCATATTTAAAAAAATAATCAAACTGAAATTGCACACCAGATACTATGATAGACATGTAACCCATGAGATGATAAATGCATCTAACCACAATTGCATATGGTACATTCCTGGTTGGGTAACTTGCTGTGTAACGGGACAGACAGACAAGTAGTAAAGTCAGTATGTTGGTGACAGGTTCACGGATGAACACCTCAGGAGTCATCATGCATAGGCAAGAGTTCACAGGTATCAGTCTTTTGTTACCTCATGTGTTGATACATTGTCATTTAATGTCACTTGGGAGTGGCTGAGATGAGGTGGACAGCCTGTCAGAACTGGCAGTGTTGGGTATGCAGCAGGAACAGTGGGATGGGCAGCTCCACCCTTGCCAATGGGATACCTGGTTCTGGAGCACTGAGAGTAATGCATGGAACTCAGGAAGCAGGGACATTCCCAGAGAGCAGAGAGCACACATAAAGCTCATATCTGAGATCAAAGTGTTATTATATACAGTACAAGCCACAATAATATGCTCAGTAAAATGCTGATTCAGCATTCCTAGCTTTATTCTATAGGTGACAACTATGTTAAGGTATGGGTGTTTGGGAAAAGAACAGGCTACTTCGTGGTGAAAGCACAATGGAGTACAGATGTCAGAATCAAGATCTATTAAACTTCGTCTGCTGAATAGCTTGTGAATCTGTCACTTGTCTACCTCTAAGCTTCAGACATAGGTCACAAAAGAACTAACTCCTTTAGGTTGGAATACCCAGGGAAAATCAGCTGAAAGGTGAACTATAAATAATAGAAGGTGATTGATGACAAACATGGTAGTGATTTTGTGTACGTCTGATGAAGTATAGTTGATGCAGTGTAGTCACACCCATGGAAGGTGCATTTAAATTAGCTTTGTCAAAATTCCCTGTTAACACTAGAGATATATTTCCTTCTATGAGCAATCAGACAGTGGAACATGAATTGCAGCCTCTAACCCACACAATGGTTTTCAGTCTCCATTTTCTGGTGGAATGGTTTTGTCCACTGGTTCTGGGTTCATGGCTGTCGGTTTACACAGCAAGACCATATGCACGTGGTGACAGCTCCTAGTCCACTGTTGTGAAATATTTGTTTACATTGTATGATGATGTGTCATTGTGATTGGTTTAATAAAAAGCCAAATGGCCAATAGCTAGATAGGGGAGGTTAGGTGGGACTTTGGGGCAGAGAGAAGAATTCAGAAGGTTAGAATCCAGGTATGGGAGACATTCCGGCAATACATGGAGCGAGTCAGATGTACAAAATAGGAAGAAGTAAGAGACACATGGTAGGACATAGATTAATGAAACAGGTTAATTTAAGTTATAAGAGCTAGTTGGGAACAAACCTAAGCTAAAGGACAAACTCTCATAATCAATAGGCAGCTGACAAAAAAAGTTTAGCTCTGGCCCACTTAATCATCCTGAACAGCTTTGGGTCATATTTTATAGATAACTTGACATCATTTCTGACCCATGAGGGAGTGACACCCAACAGTTTCTCCAGCATCCAGTCATGAGCATCTTGTGGTGATAGATAGATTTAAGCATGGCAGCTGAGGGTCCCACTTCAAGGAGTTGTGTTTTCCCAGAGAGTGGGTTTAACTTGGACCGGCTCAGGGTGTCTCCTGCCTCTCTTTGGAAATTGCTTTCTTTATTAAATTATGAAGATTTTGAAATCCCTGAGTCCTTGGATCTCGGAGTGAAAATAATCAGGTATTTTCCAGCCTTGGGTTTCAAGTTCAATTAACCTCTGTAGTCCCAGATAGAGGTTTTCATGTTTCATACCTAGACTACCATTAATTTCTCCCACACTCTCAATTGAAAATGAGTTCAGGTTCTGGAATGTCCCCCCTTTTTTTACTCTGAGATCTAGAATGGATTTGGAGTCTGGCAGGTGGATGAGACAAGTGGAGGAAATGATTGCAACCCATTGGGATAGAAGCCTTACGTTTTATCTTTCAAATACAGGAAACAAATTCTTAAAAAAATGTTTTGGGTCATATTCTAGGATATTAGTTCTGAATATTAAAAACTCAAATATAAAAACAAAACTCAACTTGACAGAGGCTAAGCTAAATGAGAAGACTGTTTCTTTCGGTCACTTGAAAACTCTGAATGGATGGTCAAGGACCAAGTGGCCAAGAACAGATACTGATTTACAAGTTGTGTGTTCTGGATCCTGGGACAAAGCTGGTTCTCCCCTGTAAAATGTGTGCCTTTTCAGAGAAATGATCATATTGGTGACTTACAGAATTGAATATCCATCTCTTAGGGGCTTCTCACAAAATAAGTTCTAGTGAACTCCTGATTAGATCATTATATAAATTCATAATCTGACCCCTTCCCCCTTGTCCTAGCTGTATAGTATTCATACTGGTCATCGTTTATTTTCTAAAGCTTCAGCTCTCTCTCTCTCCTTGACGTAGAGTTTTTAACTTGATGTCCTTCCCTGACATCCCTGTTAGAGTTTTATTGGGTCTGTTCCTCCTATGCCTTCCTTCTTCACTTCTTACTGAAGTTACAGGTTTTCAGCCTTTGTGTTACTGGCATCTTGGAACAACTATTTCTATGCTGGGGGAGCTAGCTCTGTTTTGTACGATGTTTAGGGCTATCCCTGGCTTCTGCCTACATAATGCCAGCATCATTCATTATAAGATTATTTTAAAAATAACCCAAGATTGTTTTAATTAACAAAATTTATTAACATACGAAGATTTAGGTTTAATTATGAATATTTTAACAAAATCTGTTTCTCTCTCTTCCTCTCCCCATCACCTGTTCCTCTGTTGTCACTCTGACCTCACTATTTTCCTTTGCACTTTCATGGTAAGTGTCACCTTTTGTTGCTCCTCCCCACTCTTCCCCCTTTCATGGCCTTGATCTAGTGTCATAGTCTACACCCACCCACACCCCTTTTTTTACATACGCACAAGTATTAAAAGTACCCTCCTCTGAGAGAGAACATGTAGGTTTTGTCTTTCTGAGTCTGGGGGATCTCACTCCATATGATATCTTACAAGCCCATTCATTTCCTAGAAAATTTCACAATTTCAGTTTTCTTTACTGGTAAGCAATATTCCAGTGTGTACACATGCCACATTTTTATTGCCCAGTCTTCTGTTGATGGACATCTAGGCTGGTTCCATGCCCTAGCTGTCATGAATAGATAAGTGATAAACAAGGGTGTGCAAGTGTCACTGTGGATGGATTTATTTGTTTACTGTGTGTGTGTGTGTGTGTGTGTGTGTGTGTGTGTGTGTGTGTACCCACAAGCAGGACAGCTGAGTTATATGGTAGTTCTAGTTTTGATTTTGAGGAGTTTATATACTGACTTGTAGAGCAGTTTTGCTCCTTTATCTTCCTGCCACAGTCACTCTTCCCTGGAAACTTGCCCGATATGTTATCATTCACTTTCTTGATCATAGCCATTCTGACTAGGTGAGGTGGTATCTCATAGCAGTTTTAAGTTGCATTCCCTGATTCTAAGCCCATTTTTTTTATGGCCAAATTGTCTATGAGTATTTCTATACACTTGTTGGAAAACCACAGCATACCTACTAAAATAAAATGGGTTACTCTATTTGAACACTTATCGAACTGCAAATTCATTGTGTCTTAATTAGATGTTAGAAGTCAAAGTGAACAGTTGCTCCTCCCAGTAGGCACGGGGTTCCACTGTGAGATGAATGTGCACTCCACACTTTATAGGATTCATCATTCCTTCTTAGAGACCTGGCTCGGCCCTGTCCATTTCCTTCCCTGCTGCTTCAGCTGAAGTGAGCATTAACAGACGTGACAGACCTCTAAACTCTTCCTAATATAGAGCTAAGACTTTTTTTTTCCTCTGGATTTGTGTAGTGCTGGAGCTGAGAGTGAGAGGGGAACAGAGAACAATGACAGTGAGACACCAGTGTGATGGTATAGACGCTTTATTCTTGGTCAGAGGCAGGGACAGGCACTGCACTCCACAGGAAGGGTGGGGACTGAGGGCCCTGGGCATCAAATAGGCAGGGAAGGGCCTCTGGGAATGGACAAGACAGGCTGTGCTTTCCGTTGGGATTCTTGTTTTCCCCAAACTCTGTCGTCTCGGCCTCAGGATCCAGGTCAGCAGCAGCCCCCAGAGCTGTGGCCACAGCCTGAGCCCCCCGACTGCTGGCCACTGCCACGGTCACACGATCTGGAGGAGCTCCTGTGCCTGCATCTGTGGGACCTGCGCCTGTGGTGGCTCAGGAAGCAGCCTCCCTCAGAGCTGGGCACACTGCAACCCCCAGAGCTGGTAGCACAGCAGGAGGAGGCTGCAGGCAGGCACTGAGCTGTGCTCTTTGGGGGGCACTTGGGGGAGGGGCACTTGGGAGGAGGCTGGCACTGCTTCTGGTTCTGCTGGCAGGACATCTTGGCAGGAGTCAGTCAACCTGAGTAAGTAAAGAAAACAACTGTCAGTAATCTCCAGTGCAGTGTCTCCTCCTCTCGGGTATTGTCCCCTTTCTGGGCCAAGGAATGCCGGAAGGAAAGCTGGTGTGGATGGAACCCATTGGATCACTCCGGGCGCCTCCTGCTCTGTTCTCTACTCAGGGAATCCATCTTTCCATGTCTTTGAAGAATACCCAGCCGATATACCTGTTAGGGAAAAGTGACTGGGAGTAGGGGTGTCATAAGAAACAGAGTGGACACATGAATGGAAAGGAGGCGAAGTGTGGGAAGTGGATGCTAAGCTCCCGTGGCCTTTGTAGGTGGAAGAATTCTTGTCATGCCCGTCCCCATTCTACCATTTTGAATAATTGCCTACAACAAACTCATTGTTTTTTTTTTTTAATTCACTACTAGAAACGGCTTATTTTCCCTATTGTGCTTCATGTCTGGATAATTATGCCTCTTCTCTCTTCCCGTGATCCAAATGCTATGATAAACGGTGAGGGGAACCTTGGCGGATTCCATGGCAGATGAGTGTGAGGCAGACGGAGCTTAAGTGAAAAGTTTATTAGAAAGGGGAGGT